TATAAAGTTTATATTCCTTAAATAAAAGGTTTCTGGGGGAAAACAATCAGGTAATTTGCAGTTTAGAGATAAAATTATCTTTTTGGTAGGCAGGGAGAGAAGAAGAGTGAGAGTGAGAGAGATAGAGATGGATCTTCCATCTGCTGTTTCACTCCCTCTATAGCCAGACTGGCCAGGCTGAAGACAGGACCCTGGAGCTCCATCTGAGTGACAGGGGTCCTGGTCCTTGATCCATTCTCTGCTCTTTCCTAGCTGCATTAGCAGGGAATTCAATGAGAGGCAGAGCATCTGGGACTGTCTGAACCAGCACTCTGATAGGGGATGCCAGTGTTACCCAGTGGCACAACACCAGCCCCCTTCAGTGCCAACTTCTGTTTGTGACCTTGTTTATTATCAGACATAGCTGCCAGAAACTTATTAGTCTTTTGTTCTGCACTTTACTAAAATATGTTCTTTATATCCTATATTATAAAACATTGGGGGCAATTGTGGTATTTGGCCTCACAGATAACACACTGGTTAGGAAGCCATGGCCATAATGGAGTGCCTTGGTTTCCTTCCTGGCTTCTGCTTTGACTGATTCCAGTTTCCAGGTAGTGCAAATCCTGGAGGCAGGGGTGATGGTTCCGAGTAACTGGGCTCCTGAGACCTACGTGGGAGACTGGGATTGAGTTCTCAGCTCCATACTTGGCCCCAGTGTAGCCTTGGCTATTTCAGGTATCCCAGAATTCAATCAGTGGATGAGAAATTCTTTCTCTAATTCCCATCCTCTCAAATAAATAAAAATTTTCAAAAATTTCCAATTTTCAAAAAATGTTGACTTTATCCCCTAGCCCATACTTTGCTTTGCCTAAGTGTTGATGGCACGTATAAATATAAAGCTTTACTATTTCAATTTACACTGGAAGAAGACACTACAGAAAAGGAAAGGAGGGGCTGGCACTGTGGATAGCAGGCTAAGCCTTCACCTGCAGCGCCAGCACCCCATATGTTCATCGGTTCAAGTCTCAACTGCCCCGCTTCCACTTCAGCTCCCTGCTAATAATGGCCTGAGCAAAGGAGTGGTGGATGGTCCAAAAGCTTGGACCTCTGCATACCCATGCAGAACCGTGGGTGCAGGAAGCAGGGACTCCTGGCTCCCGGGTTTGGCCTGATGAAGCTTGGGCCACTGCAGCCACATCAGGTGTGAACCAGCTGATGAGGGACCTTTCTATCTATCTCTCCCTCTCTCTGTCTGTAACTCTGCCTCTCTAATAAACAGATCTTTAAAAAAAAAAACAGAAACAAACCTGCCATATGCTTCAGCAATCCCACTACTGGATATACACCCAAAAGAAATGAACATTACTGTATCAAAGAGATAGCTCTTCCACCATGTTGATTGCAATATGGTTCACAGCAATCACAAGGAATAAACAAGAACTTATTTATAAAGATTAAACAAAGATTTCTGTCATCAGGAGAATAAGAAGACATGGTACAGATCTACAATGAAATGTTATTCAGGACTTAACAATAATGAAATTTTATCAAGTGCATCAACATGGAGTAACTGGAGGACTTCAAGTTAGAGAAATAAGCCAGAGGGCTGGCGCAAAGCCAGCCGTAGCGACCATATGGGTAATGAACCAACAGAAGGAAAACCTTTCTCTCTGTCTCTCTCTCACTGTCTATAACTCTACCTGTCAAAAATTTTTAAAGAAAAAAGAAAAATGAAATAAGCCAGAAAAAGAAAAATACCACATGTAAGTTAACTTTGTTAAAAAAATTAAAACACAAAAACAAAAAAAAGTAAATGCCAATGTTGTAGCACTACTGCTGCAAATATACTCTTAGAAAACACTGTTTGATAACCTGGACAAACCAATTGTTAAGAACAGAGTACTGGGGCCGGAATGGTGGCATAGTAGGTTAAGAATCCACTGTGGTGCCGACATCCCATATGGACACCAGTTCAAGTCCAGCTGTTCCACTTCCAATCCACTTCCCTGCTGATGGCCTGAGAAAGCAGTGGAAATGGCCCAAGGGCTTGGGCCCCTGCAACCTACTGGGAAAGATGGAAGAAGCTCTTGGTTCCTGGCTATGGACTGGTCCAGCTCCAGACATTGTGGCCATTCGTGCAATGAACTCATATGGATGGAAGACCTCTATCTCTATGTCTTCCTCTCTATGTAACAATGCCTCTCAAGAAAATAATTTTTAAATAAAAAGTATACTGCTCTGGTGGAACTTTATTCTTTCTACCTTTTTCCTATGAATATTATGAATATTATGGCTACCCTGAATATAACATGGATTAAAATCATATTTTGAAAAATTGATGAAAGAAGAGGCCATGAAGGGAGGGGAAAGGGGAAGAGAGGAAGGTCTGGGTTTATTCTTGGAACTGTACCTAAAGAATGCATGAAATATGTTCTCTTTTCATTCATTTTAAAAATAATTGAAGGGGCAGGTGCTGTGCGGCAGTGTGTTAAGCCCAGGCTTGAAAGGTGGGCACCCCACATGGGCACAGGTTCTAGTTCACGCTGCTGCTCTTCTGATCTAGCTCTCTGCTATGGACTGGGAAAGCGGTAGAAGATGGCCCAAGTCCTAGGACCCTGCACCTACGTGGGAGACTGGGAGAAGCTCCTTGTTCATAACTTTATCGGCTAACTTCAAGCCATTGTGGCCATTTGGGGATGAACCAGCAGAGGGAAGATCTCTCTCTCTCTCTCTCTCTCTCTCTCTATATATATATATATATATATACATATACCTCTTTCAGAAATTCTATCTTTCAAATAAATAAATCTTTAAAAAATGAAAAAGAGGCCGGCACTGCAGTGCCATAGGCTAATCCTCTGCATGCAGCGCCGGCACACCGGGTTCTAGTCCCGGTTGCTGTTTGTTCTAGTCCCGCCGCTCCACAGCGGCCATTGGAGGGTGAAGCAACGGTAAAAGGAAGACTTTTCTCTCTGTCTGTCTCTCTCACTGTCCACTCTGCCTGTTAAAAAAGTGAAAAAGAAACAAGAATGTTACTTTAGTATAGTTGTGACAATCTGTGATTACTTTAAATTTAGAGTGTATTGAATAAATGGTTATTTTTCCATTCAACCAATTATATTTGTTGCTTATATTCCCACTAAACTAGTGTTTCTGTTTTTTCCTTATTTTTAGAAGATTTATTTTGTTTACCACAAAAACATTGTTACATACAGAGAGAGAGAAAGAGGAAGAGATCTTCCATCTGTTGCTTGACTTCTCAAATGGCCAAAACAGTCAGCACTGGACCAAGATGAAGACAGGAACCAAGAGCCTTTTCCAGGTGTCCCACGTGGGTGCAAAGTCACAAGCACTTGGGTTGTCCTCTGATGCTTTGGTGCACTAGCATCGAGCGGGATCAGAAATGGACTAGGGACTAGAGCTGTGGCATTCTAAGTAAAGGTGCCTCCTGCAGTGTCGGCATCCCATATGAGTGCTGGGTCAAGTCCAGCTGGAGGACTTCTGATCCACCTCTCTGTTATGGCCTGGGAAAGTAGTGGAAGATGACCCAATCCTTGCGCCCCTACAACTGCATGGGAAGACCCCAAGGAAGCTCCTGGGTCCTGGTTTCAGATCAGTGCACCTCCAACCACTGTGATCTTCCAGGGAGTGAACCAGCGGATGGATTGCAAGACTTCTCACTCACTCTCTCTGCCTCTGCCTCTCTGTAACACTGCCTTTCAAATAAATGAATACATCTTGAAAAAAAAAAAAAAAGAAGTGGAGTAAATGGGACTTGAACCAGTACCCGTAGGGGATGCCAAACATTGGACCACCTGTTTTTTAGTTCCTGAACTTCTTATTTGGTAAAGAATTTAGCCATTTTACTCTAATGCAAATTTAAAAACTATCCAAAAATGGATGAAAGTAAGGAAGTCAGGAAGGGAGGGACAAAGGGCAAAAAAAAAACAAAAAAAAACAAAAAGGAAGACGTACACTGGGAGAGACAGTGTTGGAAGGAGAGCAGAAGAACGGAATGTTGCTTTATTAGTAGTATTGTTCTATAAAATATATGGAAGAATTTCTTAACCTAAGAAGTAAATATATCCACTTGGGACAATATCAATCTTTAATAGAAATTTATATAAATAGGTAAAATAGGTAAGCACTCACATTACAGGAAAATTTAATATATAAAATATGCATGTTCATAAAAGTCTATACTTGGAAAATCCTATGACATTTATAAAAATATAAGTTTGAAAATATTTCTGTAAAAATAACCTAAAAGTAAGAATATAAAAGCTATATAATTCTGAATGTTACTCAAAAATAACACTGCATTGTAAAAAATGAACATCCTATAGAAAAACTTAAGGAAAAACTTGCATTCCTAATAACTGTGACAGTGTGAAACAAAAACACATGGTTTAATGGCTCACAAAAGCAAATGGAAATATCAGAGATGGGAAAAAATCAAATGAGGAAGAGGAAGTACTACAAAGTATACATTCCAACATAAGGGGAAGATATTTCAAGAACTCCTACCTGGTAAAGTCCTGCAGGACCAAGTCCTCCCCAGCCCCCAAACAGCAATCAGAACAAACACTCCATGAAAGCAGAAGCTTTCACACAGAGCTGCCTAGAAGGATATGGAAAACATGCACCACGACAAAGCTGTGCACAGTTCATCAAAATGTCTTGAAAGACAACAAACTCACAACTGCTTCTTTCCACAAACTTTTCAAAGTACCTCACACTGGCCCCTGCATTACATAAAACAAAGAGAACAAATGCTGGCACATAACAGAAACATCTTTGAAAGACAAGAAATACACCTTTACCAAGAGAGAGTCCTCTGCCCAAATTCAGACTTCTATAAGCTGACCTCAAGCCTCAAATTTCATTCCAGGCTTGATCAGGTTCTTGTCTTCCTAAGCACAACACCAATCCAGTTTTCTCCCACATAAGCCTCTCTCCATCCCTGGTATTCCAAGACCTTTGTAGAAGTTTCCTAATTAACCGTGTACCCATACCACAGTCCCTAAGAAAGAACACACTGCACCCCTCACCCTTTTTTTACCCTCATTTTCCCAAGGTTTTTGCTCAAGCCCTGTCCCAGGTCTAACACTTGGAGACTCCACCACTTCTTCTAGTAGACCTACCAGCTCCTCCCTATTACAACTCTACTGAGGTCACCTGACCCCCTCCATTCAATCCTTCCATTTCCCTATCTATATCACAGGATAGTGATAGACAGAAATTACCTGATTTCAGCTCCCAACACCTTGCATGCCCCAGGTTCTTCCATGACATCTAACCCTCCACTCCCACCACACATAATACTTCCAATCCTGTCATACTTAGCTCCAAAATCTCAAACCCAAACTTTTATTAACACATCTCTCCAAACCAGACAGACCTCTTGGGTTTTGTACTCTGGACTCAACAGCACACACTTTTCCTCTAGGTCTCCCTCCCATTTCCTAGATACCCAAGTCTTCCCCTCTTACCATCTTCTTTGGCCCCTAATTCTCTGCAGAGCCCCGGGACTTATTCCCCAACATCCTATCAACCCCCCCGTCTCCATGGTCTCTAACTCTACTGAAGCCCACCAGGCCCCTACATTTCTCCCCATGCCTGTGGGGCTACCCCACATGGCCCTCCCTGTCACAGGATGGAAGTCCACATCACTATTTGTCTGGGCTGCCCAACCCCAGAGAACGGGCTGTCCCTTCCCTTCCCCTTGGGCACCCAGGCCACGGCCACCACTGGGGCGGCCACATCTGCTCACCAGTTGCTCCTCTCCAGGATGAAGGCCCAGCTGGTGTTGAGCAGAAGCCGTGTAGTCTCCGGAACTGGAATATTATCCAGCAGCTGAGCTTCAGCGTCCACCCTGCGTTAGTTTCACATCTGTGTCCTCTGCGGGGGAGGAGGGGAGACAGACATCCGCTTCTTGGCTTCCTCATGGCTGAGCTGCTGCCCACCCATGCTGCCTCCGAACCTGCGGATTTGGGCGAGAACGCCATGGGAAGATGCCCTGGATATCTCTGTCCCGTAAATTTAAGTGCAGCTAATCCCTCCCGCACTCTCCAAGCCTAACATAACACTGCTGCCAATAACACCGCCAGTCGACAACGACGCCACTGCAGCAGACGTCACCTACTTCTCCCTGAGGCTTACTGCACAAGCGCCATCCGACTAACACCCGCCCCTTCCTCCCAGGATACACAGCGTCAGCGGAAGAGGCCCCGCTGCCTTGATGAACCAGGGAAAAGCACCTTAGTAGCCACAGCCTGGCATGGCCGCCCTGTGCTCACCACGATCAGCAGTGCTCCAGGGACATCGTGGATCCCCATCCAGCCCACCAGAAGCTCCGGGGCAGTATGCAGCTCTCTAGACCTCCGGGCTGACACCCAGCAACTCCTGTTGGTGCAGTGCTCTGCTAAACTGCCCGTGGTCAGGGTACTGAACGGCGGATGCCCGCCCAGCATCCTTGAGCAGGTCGGAGCCGGGGATGCTGCCCGGAGTCATACAAGCAGGGCTGGTGATGCCTTACACCGCGTTAAAGCCACGGCATGCAGTGCTGTCTTTCCATGTGCGTGTCAGTGTGCATTCTGGCAACACCACTTCCAATCCAGCTCCCTCCTTATGCGCCTGGGGAAGCGGTGGAGGATGTCCCAATTCCTTGGGCCCCTACAGCCACATGGGAGACCCAGAAGGTGGTCCTGGATCCTGACTTCATATTGGCTCAGTCTGGCCATCACGGTCTTTCGGGGAGTGTACTGGCAAATGGAAGACCTTCCCCCTCTCTCACTCTCATCCTCACTCTCACTCACATGCTCTTGCTGTTTCTCTCTCTGTTTTTCTTGCAAATGAATGCATGAAAACTTTTTTTAAAAAACCACATTATCATCTCATTACATACAGAGAAATAATCAGAAGAGATTCACTCTCAGTCATGCTAAACAAACAAACAAACATAAAACCACAGAGTGGGATAGAAGGAATAGGCATCAAAATCAAAAAGGCTATGTATGACAAATCAACAGCCAATGTCATGCTGGATGGGCAAAAAGTGAAAGCATTTTTGTCAAACATGTAACACAAGGATGCCCCTTTTACCACTCTGAATGCAGTACTGTAAATTTTCAAAGAGAAAGAAAGGAGAAGAAAGAAACTGCACCTACATTATAAAAGAGAAGTGAAATTCTAAATGCTTGCAGGTGACATGATATGGTACCAGAAAAAAACTAAAACAATCCACCAAAAACACTGCTAGACCTGGTGAAACAATTCAGTGAAGTCACTGGTTACAAATAAACATAGTGTGTAAGCAGCAGTGCTTATACATTAATGATGAACTCACTGACAGAGCAATCAACAATAATCCCAAGGACAATAAGCACAGAAATCAAATGTTTAAGACTAAATTTAACCAAAGAAGCCAAAGAGCTCTATCATGAAAATCACCATACACTGATATAAGAAATCACCAACAACTCAAAAAATGGAAAGATATCCCTTTTGGTGGATTTGAAGAATCAGCCTAATTAAAATTTCTACCTTACCTAACACTACCTAAAGATTCAACCAAAATTATATCAAAACATCAATGACATTCTTTGCAGAATTACATAAAACAACCTAAAATTCATACAAAATCACAGAAGATCCAGAATAGCTAAGGTGTTACTGGGCAAAAAACGAAACAAGGCCGGCGCCGCAGCTCTCTTGGCTAATCCTCCGCCTGCGGCACTGGCACCCCGGGTTCTAGTCCCGGTTGGGGTGCTGGATTCAAAACTAAATAAACGGGATTAAATGAAATTAAAAGCTTTGCACAGCAAAGGAAATCATCATAGAGTGAAGAGACATCCAACAGGATGAGAAAAAGATATTTGTCAGCTACCTATCTGACAAAGGATTAATATCAAGAATGCATCTGCAACTTTAAAAAAACAACAGCAAAAAAACAACCAATTATGAAATGGCCAAAGGAACTCAACAGACAGTTCCCCATAGATATACAGATAACCAATAAATATAGGGAAAAATAGCAACATCACAAGCTATCAGGGAAACACAAATCCAAACCACAATGAGATATCAGCTCACACGTACATATTGGCTAAAACCCAAAGGACAGAGAGTCTCAATGAGGAGGAGGATGTGGGAAAAGGGGAACAATTACACACTGGTGGTGGGAATGTAAATTAGTGCAGTCACTGTGGAAAACAGTAAGGAGACTTCTTAAGAAACCAGAAACAGACTTGTGATATGATATGAAGCAAGCCCTCTACTGGCTAGAACCCAAAATACATGAATGTATTGTTATCAGGGAGATACGTTCACCACAATATTTCTTGCAGTATGGCTCACAGCAGCGACAACAAGAAATTGTTAAAGACTTCAAACATCATCAGTTGAATGGATAAGAATAATTCTCTCTATATATACACAAAAACACACACACACAATGAAACAACCTTACAAATCCCTCTTTCCACAGACTTTTTCATGGACCTCATGATGCTCTCTGCAGTACCTTAAATAACTAGAACAAATGTGGGCACATAGCAGACACTCCTTTGAAAGCCAAGAAAAATATATTTACCAAGAGAAACTCCTCTGCCCAGATTCTGACTTCTACAAGCCACAAACTTCATTCATAGGCTAAATCAGGATCTCCATGTTCCCAAGCCCCCTGTCAACCCATTTTCTTTCCAATAACCTCTTCTCCATCTCTTGGTAGTCTGTACACTTTGGTCAAATTTCCTGATTAACTCAGCTCCCATTCCACAATCCCTCCTGAAAGTTCCCTCTGCCTGCCTCCTGATATCCTATCCCTCACTTTAACTAAGGTTTCTCCCCAGGGCCTGTCCAGGATCTCACACTCTGATACTCTACTAGTTATTACAAGCAGACCTATTACAGCTCCTCCCTATTACAACTCTCCTCAAAGTCGCCTGCCTTCCTCCTCATAGTCCTTCCATTTTGCTTTTCTATCAAAGGATGGTGACATACAGACACACACTGTTTTCAGCTCCCAAAACCTTGCATGACCCAGGTTCTTCCATGCATTTAACCCTCCACTCCTGCCGCATGAAGTACTTGCAATCCCATCATCCTTAGCCTGAAAATCTAAAACCCAAACAACTATTACCACATCTCTCCAAACCAGACTCTTATGTTTTGTACTCTGAGTCAACATATGGCAGTTTTCCTCCCAGTTTCCCCTCCCACAGCTTCGACAATCAGTTTACCATTCTTAGGATGTTCTTTGGCCCTTAATTCTCGGCAAAGCCCCAGGGAATTCATTCCCCAATATCTTATTCACCTGTCTCTGTGGTTCCTCTATTCTAGGAACACTAGACCCCCACATTTCTGTCTCCACATGTATATAGGGCTCCCAACACTTGACCGTGCATCCCAAAGGTTGGAAGTCCACTTTGCTGTCAGCCTGGACACCTGACCCCAGGGCACACGGTTCCCTTCCGTTCCCTCTCCTCCTTGGGCCCAAGGGCTGCCATCAACAGCACGCAGCCACATCTACTAACCAGTTGCTCCTGTCCAGGATGAAGGCCCAGCTAGGTTTTACAAGGAAGCAGAGCAGTCCCCAGAAATGGAAGATTACCCAGCAGCTGAACTTCCGTGTCAACTCGGTGTCCAGTTTCATATCCATGAAAATGTCTACAATAAAGTTACAAAACATTAAGAAATGGAAGATGACACACAAAAATGGAAAGATCTTCTACGTTGACTCATTGGCAAAATCAACAAAATACAAATATCCATTCTACCATAAGCAATTTACAGACACAATGGGATCCCAAGCAAAGGTCAAATAGCATTTTGCCCAGATGGAGAGAAAACAATGCTAAAATTCATATGAAAACACAGAACATCTGAATAGAGAAAGCAACCTTATACAACATAAAAAACTCATAGCATTGCAATAACACATTGCAGAAACAGCACAGGACAGTTTCAATGAAAACAGCTTGCTATAGGCAAAAAAAAATGACATATAGAACAATGGAACAGAAAAGAAACACCTGAAATAACACACACATCTATAACTAATCTATCTTTCAAGAAGGAGCTAAAGATCAATCCCAGGTTCAAAGGACCGTTTCTTCAAAACAAGGTCCTGAGAAAACTGGACCTCCACATGCAGAACTCTGAAAGAAGACCCATACTTTACACCTTATACAAAAAGCAACTAAAACACGTCAAGGAACAAAATCTAAAACTCAATATCATCAAACTATTAGAGAACATTGGGGAATACTGAATTACATTGGCTTAGAGAAAGATTTCTGGGACAAAATGCCAGTAGCACAATAAAAGCTGAAACAGACAAATGTGATTCCATCAAGCTGAGAAGCTTCTGCACTACAAAAGGAACACTCAGAAAAGTAAAGAGGCAACCAAAAGGATGGGAGAAACTATTTGCTAACTATGAAACTGAAAAAAGATTAATATCCAGGCCAGCGCCGCTGCTCAATAGGCTAATCCTCCACCTGCAGCACTAGCACTCCGGGTTCTAGTACCGGTCACGGCACCAGATTCTGTCCCTGTTGTTCCACACTATACCCTTCACCATTTTCTTACCCTCACTTTTCCTAAGGTTATTGCCCAGGCCCTGTCCCAGGTCTAACACTTGGAGACTCCACCAGTTCTACTAGTAGACCTACCAGCTCCTCCCTATTACAACTCTACTGAAAGACACCTGACCTCCTCCATACACTCCTTCCATTTCCCTGTCTATATCACAGGATAGTGATATACAGAAATTACCTGATTTCTGCACCCAACACCTTGCATGCCATAGGTTCTTCCATGACATCTAACCCTCCACTCACACCACACAATTTACTTCTAATCCCATCATTCTTAGCCCTGAAATCTAAAACCCAAACTTTTATTAACACATGTCTCCAATCCAGACTTCTTGGGTTTTGTACTCTGACTCAACAGCACACACTTTTCCTCCAGGTCTCCCTCCCATTTCCTGCATACCCAAGTATTCCCCTATTACCATGTTCTTTGGCCCCTAATGCTCTGCAGAGCCCCGGGGAACTCATTCCCCAACATAATACCCACCCGAGTTTCCATGCTCTCATACTCTGCTGAAGCCCACCAGGCCCCTACATTTCTCCCCATGTCTGTGGGACTACCCACATGACCCTCCCTGCCACAGGGTGGAAGTCCACATCACTGTTTGCCTGGGCCGCCCAATCCCAGGGAACGGGCTGTCCCTTCCCTTCCCCTTGGGCACCCAGGACATGGACAGAACTGAGGGGGCCACATCTGCTCACCAGTTGCTCTTCTCCAGGAAGAAGGTCCAGGTGTCATTGAGCAGGAAGTCATGCAGTCTCTGGAACTGGAAGAACACCCGGCAGTTGCGCTTCACCGTCCACTCTGGTGAGTTTCATATCCAGGTCCTCTGGGAGGGAGCAGGGGAGGCAGACATCCACTTCTTGGCTTCCTCACAATAGATCTGCCGCCCACCCCCACGGCCTCCAAGCCTGCAGATTTGGGGGGAGAATGCCACTGGGTAGATGCCCTGGGCATCTCTGTCCCATAAGTTAAATGCAGTAAATCCCTCCTGCACTCTCCAAGCCTACCATACTGCTGCAGCCTATAACACCTCTTTCTCTCTCTCACTCTCATCTTTTCTCACTCTCTCTTACTCACCTGTTCTCACTATGTTTCTCTCTCTGTAATTCTTGCAAAAAATGCAATAAAGCTTCTTAAAAAAAACATTATCATTTCATTAGATACAGAGAAATAACCTGAAAAGATTCAATCCCATTCATTATTAAAAAAAAAAAACCTCCACAAAGTAGGTATAACAGGAATAGGCAGGCCGGCGCTGCGGCTCACTAGGCTAATCCTCTGCCTTGCGGCGCCAGCAAACCAGGTACTAGTCCTGGTCGGGGCGCCGGATTCTGTCCCGGTTGCCCCTCTTCCAGGCCAGCTCTCTGCTGTGGCCAGGGAGTGCAGTGGAGGATGGCCCCAAGTTCTTGGGCCCTGCACCCCATGGGAGACCAGGATAAGTATCTGGCTCCTGCCATCGGATCAGCATGGTTTGCCTGCTGCCGCACGCCAGCCGCGACAGCCATTGGAGGGTGAACCAACGGCAAAAGGAAGACCTTTATCTCTCTCTCTCTCTCTCTCTCTCTCTCTCTCACTGTGCACTCTGTCTGTCAAAAAAAAGGATTGGGCATCAAAATCATAAAGGCTAAGTATGACAATTCAAAGCCAATGGCATGCTGGATGGGTAAACAGTGAGAGCATTTTTGTCAAACATGTAACACAAGGATGTCCCTTTTTACCACTCTGACAGAATGCAGTACTGTAAATTTTCATAATGAAAGGAGAATAAAGAAAGAAATAGTACCTAGATTATAAAAGAGAAATTGAAATTCTAAATGCTTGCAAGTAACATGCTATGGTACCAGAAAAAACTAAAACAATCCACCAAAAACGCTGCTAACTGGTGAAACAATTAAGTGAAGTCTCACGTTACAAATAAGCATACTGTGTAAGCAGCAGTGTTTATACATTAATGAGGAACTCACTGACACAGCAATCAAAAAAATCCCAAAGACATAACGACAGAAATAAAATGTTTAAGACTAAATTTTGCCGGCGCCAAGGCTTACTAGGCTAATCCTCTGCCTTGCGGTGCTGGCACACTGGGTTCTAGTCCCGGTCGCCCCTCTTCCAGGCCAGTTCTCTGCTGTGGCCTGGGAGTTCAGTGGAAGATGGCCCAAGTGCTTGGGCCCTGCACCCTATGGGAGACCAGGAGAAGGACCTGGCTCCTGCCACTGGATCAGCAAGGTGCACCGGCCGCAGTGCTCTGGCCACAGCAGCCATTGGAGGGTGAACCAATGGCAAAAGGAAGACCTTTCTCTCTGTCTCTATCTCTGTCTCTTACTGTCCACTCTGCCTGCCCAAAAAAAAAGATTAATGTAACCAAAGAAGCCAAAGAGCTCTATCATGAAAACTGCCATACACTGATGAAAGAAATCACCAAGGACACAAAAAATGGAAAGATATCCCTTTTGGTGGATTTGAAGAATCAGTATAATTAAAATCTCTACCCCACCTAAAGCTACCTAAAGATTCAATTAAATATGTATCCAAACACCAATGACATTCTTTATAGAATTACATATAACAGACTGAAAATTCATAAAAATCACACAACATCCAGAATAGATAAGGTGTTCCTGTGAAAAAAGACAAAACAAAATTAGCCTAGATGCCTCACAACACCTGATTCAAAGTATTCTACAAATCTACACTAACCAAATATCAAAGCACTTGCAGAAAAAGTGACACACAGGCCAGTGGAAGAAAACAAGGCGAGCTCCAATATTAATCCAAATATGTACAACACCAGATTTTTAGGATTCAGATCTATTCATTGGAGTAAGGAAAAACTCTTGAACAAATGCCGTTGGCAAAAATGGATGTATTTGTGTAGAACACTGAAATTAGATTCATAATTCCCATAAAACAGGAAAATCAAATCAAAACAGATCAGAGACCTAAATCTATAACCTGAGACTACGAAGCTTTTTGAAGGTAATAGAAAGAAAAGCTCCAAGACACGGAATAGGCGATGACCCTTGGAAAAGACCCTCAAAGACCAGCAGCAAAATCAAAACTAAACAAATGGAATTAAATGAATTAAAAGCTCTGCATAGCAAAGGAAGTCATCACAGATAGAACAGACATACAACAGAATGAGCAGAAGATATCTGTCAGCTACCTATCTGACAAAGAATTAATATTAAGAATACATCTGCAACTTAGAAAAAAATAGCAGCAAGAAAAACACAACCAATTCAGATATGAAATGGCCAAAGGAACTCAACAGAAAGTTCCCCATAGATATACAGATGTCCAACAAATACAGGAAGAAATGCTCAGCATCATAACCTATGAGGGAAATGCAAATCCAAACCACAATGGGATATCAGCTCACACGTACATAGTGGCTAAAACCCAAAGATCAGAGAGTCACAATGATGAGGAAGATGTGGGACAAGAAGAACACTTACACACTGGTGGTGGAAATGTAAATTGGTGAAGCTGCTGTGGAAAACGGTATGGAGATTTTTAAGAAACCAGAAACAGACTTGCCATATGATGGAGCAACCCATCTATTGGATATAACCCAAAACACATGAACATATTCTATTAGAGAGATACGTACACAATATTTATTGCAGTATGCTTCACGGCAGTGAAAACAAGACATTTTCATCAGTTAAATGCGTAAGCATAATACTATACACACATACGTACACACACACACACACTCTCACACACACAATGAAACAACCTTAAAAATCCCTCTTTCCACAAACTTTTTCAAACACCCTCATGATACTCTCTGCATTACCTTAAGTAATTAGAACAAATGTGGGCACATAGCAGAAACTCCTTTGAAACCCAAGAAAAACACGTTTACCAAGAGAAAGTCCTCTGCCAGAGTTCTGACTTCTACAAACTGACTACAAGCCACAAACTTCATTCCCAGACAAAGACAGGGTCTCCATGTTCCCAAGACCCTATCAACCCTTATTTTATTTCAGATAAGATCCTCTCCATCTCTTGGTACTCTGTAGACTTTGCTCAAGTTTCCTGATTAACTAAGCACCCATTGCCCAGTCCCTCCTGGAAGTTCCCTCTGCCCGCCTCCTGATATCCTTTCCCTCACCTTTCCTAAGGTTGCTCCCCAGGCCCTGTCCCGGATATCACACTATGATGTTCCACTAGTTCTTACATGTAGACCTACCAGCTCCTCCCTATTGCAACTCTCCTCAAAGTCACCTGTCGCTCCCCCTCTTCATGGAGGAAAGACACAGGACCCTGCGCTGTTCCAAAAAATGGAAATAGATTCCTTGCTTGTGGATTGGAAGAATCTGTATCATTAAAATATCTATCTCATGTGAAAGAAATCTACAGAATACCAATGATATTCTGTACAGAATTAGAAAAATCAACCCCTCAAATTCATACAGAACCACAGAAGATCCATAACCGCTAAGGTGATCTTGAGAATATAAAAATCAAGCTGGAGACATCACAATACCTGACTTCACAGCATACTAAAAAACTATACTAATTAAAACATCATGTGACTGGCAATAAGAAAACTGAGACATAGACCAATGGAGAGAAACAGAGAATCCCTAAGTTAATCTAAATACATATGGCCACCTGATTTTGACAAAAGGGTTCAGATCATTCATTGGTGTAAGGACATCTCTTCAACAAATGGTGCTGGCAAAGCTTGATGTATTCATGTAGAATGGAATTAGATGCATATCTCTCATCATTTATAAAAATCAACTGAGATGGGGCAGCCGTGCACTTCTCAGAAGACTGTTCTTACAAGTATGGTAAAAAACAGTGAGGCCAGGTGCCAGTGCTGTGGTGTAGTGGGTAGGGCCACCAGCGGCACAGGCATCCACTGATCGGACCGTGCCTGCCTGGCTGCTCCACTTCTGATCCAGCTCCCTTTTAGAGGCCTGGGGAACGGCTGCTGAGGATGGGTCGATTGTTTGGGCCTCTGTCACCCTTGTGGGGAGACAATGTTGTGCCCCTGGCTCCTGGCTTCTTATAGCCAGTGGATGAAAGATCTCTGTCTCTCCCTCCCTCTCTGTAACTCTGACTTTCAAATAAACAAATAAATCCCCCAAACAAACCAAAAAATCTGTAGTGGTTTCTCATTAAGGGCTTGAAGCCTTGTGGGGGAAAGTTCATCAGGCTAACTAGAGGAGAGAGGAATAAAAGGGGGGGGACCAGTACGGACACGAGTCTTTCTCTCCGCTCACCTCTCAAAGGCAAGCAAGACAAAGAGCAGGCGCATTCTGGACATACTTAAAGCAGTGCCCGCCATCAGCCAACCAGAAAAACCTGACTCTGGGGGGTGTGTGTGAAATAAGAGGAAGTTAGGACCTAGTGAATGCATGGAGACTGTGAAAAAAGAGACGTTGGGTGAGAGAACTCACAGAGTTCATGTGAGTACTCGCCAGAGACGCTACAGTTCAGCAACCTTGGCAACCCGGTGGGAGACTGCAAGGGAATTTGAGCCCACACTGGGGGCACCACAGAGTCTTGGTGTCATCCCTTGGGAAAGAGCAGAGCAGACGAATGTTAAACGCACAGGAGCCAGAGATCGAAGCTGACTGCCTAATATTCCGCTCAGCTGTGCGGAATTTCTTCCCTTCTGAATCAAAAAAAAGGAAAAAAAGAGAGAGAGCAGAGAGACAGAGGAGAGAGAGAGAGAGAGAGAGAGAGAGAGAGGAGAGAGAGAGATGTACCATGCCTAACCTGGGTGTGTTCACCTTTGGCAGACCCTTAACCCTGAGAACCAACAGAGCACTCGTGGCCACACCCATCTCAAGCCTCTAAGGCTCCATCAAAAGCAGACAGTCCACTTAATACAGTCATAGTATAACAAGAAAAAACACCATAGTAAGGGAAGAAGAATCCAAAGAATATC